CCATTGATACCATTGGGCTGCAGGGTTCCCAAGCGAAATATGAGATGCTGTTCCTGCAATCTACGGGTGGCATCGTTGTGGCACTGCAGGAGGCCCAGGATGGACATGTCGTCCAAGGAGTGGGAGGGGGAGTTGAGGTGGCTGAATGTCTTTCAAACAATAGGCGGCCAACATCCACCTCCCTGAAACAGAGTTAACGTTTCGGGTCCGGTGACCCTTCCCGGTTCAGACCCGAAACGTTAACTCTGTTTTTCCCTTCACAGATGCTGCCAGACCTGCTAAGCTTTTCCAGCAATTTTGTTTTTGTTCCTGATTTACAGCATCTGCAGTTCTTTCGGTTTTTATTTAGTCTTCTGGCTCTTGTTGGACTCATTTTATGAGAACTTCAGCGACATTATCATAATATTTTCTGTTTGTATCATTATTTTATATTTTTATATTCATTTATAGAACGTGGGCGTCGCTGCCTGGACCAACATTTATTGCTAGTCGCTAGTTGTCCCTGAGAAGGTAATGGTGAACTGCTGCAATCAATGTGCTGTAATTTGATCCCTAAAGCCCTTAGCGAGGGAATTCGAGGACTTTTTTTTACTCAACGACATTAAAAGAACGATAATACATTTCCAAGTCAGGATTGTAAGTGGTTTGGTGGGGATCTTGAAGATGGCGGTATTCCCATGTGTTTGCTGCCCTTGTCCTTTTGGGTATTAACGGTCCTTGTTGATTCTTATTGTGGTTCCACTTGATTGACTTGGTATTTTGTATGGAATATGTGTTATTTAGTGTGGGATCAGTTTAGAATTCATTATGCGTTTGATTGGGCAATGTATTACTAAAAGCACTTCGTGGTTATTGTTGTCACCGCCTCAAATAAGTATTTACAACAGAAACAGACAGCGGTACATGACCACCAAAAATTCCAAAATAATTCGCATCTGTATTCTAACATCAAGCAACATAACATGGCAAATTAAATACCAATAAAGTAATCCGCATTAAGTGAGAAATAGACGCATTTTGTGCAATGTTGTTCCTTTTCGGTGAGTGTAACTCTTGCCAATTAACTTTCACATTATACTTTGGTTCTGTTCTTGAAGTAGTGCTTTTAAATGTCCCTGTTTAAATGGATCAGGAGTTTTTGATTTCTCCCATTTCATCAATCATCTCTTTCAAAAAGTGAAAATACATTTAAGTGGAATGCACACAAATTTAGAATATCACTGACTACAAGTCGTGCATCATACAATGATGATACTACTTTGTTAACAGTAGAGCTTGCTGTCACTTTTTTTTTTCATTTCTGAAGGTTTTGAATTCTCCTGTAGAAGTCATAACGGAGACTCGAAACGTTAACTCGCGTTCTCTGTTTCCTCTCTCCATAGATGCTGCCAGGCCTGCTGGGTTTCTCCAGCATTGCCTGTGTTTGTTTCAGATTTCCAGCATCCACATGACTTTACCTTGAACCGTTTTCCATCGAAAGAACAAGGTACGTGGAGTTATGATACCCTATCAGTCACTTTCCAACGCTACAATAAATAAATGGTCATGCTAGGTGAAAGCAAGGCCAAAATGTTGCAGTGAAGTTGCCTGAACTTTATCTCTTGTGCTATCGGGATTAACAATTCTGTTCAGTCTTCAATGGATGATGTAGGATTGTAATACTATACGGGTCCAATTGTTCGTGCGATTACTGAACAATTTATCCAGAATCATTGGATTCGATGGGAAATGTGCCGAAGTGTCCTGTACTTGTGGTGCTTTAAGTAAGATTCGCGGAGTTTAAACTGCAAATCGGAGGTTAGACGTGAGCGGCGCTTTGTCACCCGTTCTGCTCTGGGATCCCGGAAAGGGCGTGTGTGCCTGCTGTCCCCACCCGCCGTGCTGCGCTGTTTGCTTCCAGTGAGAGGCGGAGTCTCGATCTCTATGGGTGTTTGTCGATGGAGATATGAGAGCCACGTAATTAAGTTAAAAAAAACTTTATTTTCCCCAGGATGAAATCACAGTTGCTTTTGTTTCTGTTCGCGGTGTCTCTTCTGGATGCAGCCACCTGTATGACTGAGAAAAAGCGAGGCCCAAAGGTAACAGCCAAGGTAGGTTCACAGTTGCTGGGGGACAGTGAGGGGAGACAAGCAGCAGACAGCAAGAGGCGAATCCGCCCTGTCGCAACTGGATTGACAGCTGATCTGCCCAACAGCGGGGCTCGCTGAAGGGACCACCCTTCAAACGTCCAATCAGAATGGACAGAAGGCGGGAGTTCAGGTCTCAGACCCGACTGATTCGACATTACGTTGTTACATTGAGACACGAGTTCAATTGTAGGGTTAGTAGGAACTGCAGATGCTGGAGAATCCGAGACAAGGTGCAGGGCTGGATGAACACAGCAGGCCAAGCAGCACCATAGGAGCAGAGAGGCTGACGTTTCGGGCCTAGACCCTTCATCAGAAAAACGTCAGCCTCTCTGCTCCTATGATGCTGCTTGGCCTGCT